AGTCATAAGGGGAGCAAAATTATAATAAAGAGAGCAGCACTATGTCTGGATTTATTAATTTTTGTTTCCTTAGAACTTAGCACAGTGCTATGCACCTATATAGGCACTCAATAAATACCTGATGAATAAATTAGTGAATAAATTGTAGTTTGAAGAGCATAGACAAGATGTTCTTAATGAATAAGGTCTTCAAGCCAGATGCATCTCTTCTCTTTAGAGATATACCTGTGAAGTGAACCAAACTACCAGTCAACTTCTTACAGCTCTAAAGTAAAGATTCAGTCCAGTGGTATAACTCTTATAGGAAAAGCAGTATTGATTTGCCTTCATTTAATATTGGAGGTATGGTACTAATTCTGAAGGATAACTGTACATTGTATATTATAATTGCTGAGCTTAATTTACTCCAGATTATATAGTGTAGTAATCTGCTCCATAGTTAATTAACTTGGGTAGCCAAATAAACTTAGCTAACCCTGGTAAACAGATACAATAAAGAGAATGTTGAGTTCTTTTTTTTCTTTTTTTAATCCTCACCGGAGGACATTTTTTCCATTTTTTGTTCAGGTAGAGTGGGAGGGAGAGAGAAGAACAGAGAGAGAGAGAGAAACATCGATGTGAAAGGGACACATCGAGTGGCTGCCACCCGCACAACCAGGGACACGTGCCCTTAGTGGGAACCGAACCCAGGTCTCTCAGGACCACAGGCCGACGCTCTAACCGCTGAGCCAAACCGGCCAGGGCGAATGTTGAGTTCTTATTTCCACTGTATTTTGATGTATCTCTGAGTATATTTCACTTTATCCTTTTGACATATTCATAGTAATTAATGTATGCAAGAAGGTCAAAGTCTTGCATGTAAAATCATACTGTTCTTTGACAATATTTCAAGGGTGTGTCCTACAGAAATTTCACCCTTGAGGCATTCTAATTTTAAAATTACCTTAAAGAGAAAAACAATTTTCTAACTAAAAAAAAAAATTAAATAAAGTAGCCAAATTCTTAGGAACAGAAAATAGAATGGTGGTTGCCAGGAGCCAGTGGGAGGGGAGAAAGGGGAGTTAGTTGTTCAACAGACATAGAGTTTCAGTTCTGCAAGATGACAGAGTTCTAGAGGCATGTTGCACAACAAGGTTCAGAGTTAACACTGCTGTACTGCACTCTTAAAAATAGTTAAAATGGTAAAATTTATAGTTTTTTACCACAATAAACAAACCAACAAAATTGGTATGTGGGTAAACCAAATACTATGGTGTATATATATTTCTATGCCACTTACTTTGGGAAATTATAATTTTTGGTGAAATTTAGGAAAGAAGTATTATCTCACTGGCAAACCCTTAAGGTTTCAAAAATAAATTATTTAAATATAGAGATTGAAAAACTCTCCTCCTTGTTGCCTTTTTTTTTTTTTCCCTGCCCACTGGTCTCTCTGAAGACTTCTCATGAAATTTAAGGCACATAACTTTGTCTGTTTGTTTTTCCCTACAAATGCAGTGGTTGTACATACTCCTAGAAAGAGAAGGCAGTTCTTGGTGGTGCTGTTGTTTGTCATACTGAATACTTTGAGCTCAAATAATTTAGCATTTGGGGACCCTAGGGAAGATGAGTCTGCCTGAGACTAAGGTCAGTCCAAGCAAAGCAGACCAAGAGAAAGTGAGAAACTAAATCCTGATGATATATATTTTTGAGCCTCTGAGGTCAAATATGCATTATCTCAGCTTTCCCACTGGAATGATGTGAGCTGGAGAAATCTATTTATTGCTTACACCATTTTAACTTGTATTTCTATCACTTGCAGCCCAAAAAAACTTGACTAATGTGGGTTCCATGGAATATCTCTGCATCCTTAAGAGAAAGTGGAGACTGCCCTGGCCGGTTTGGTTCAGCGGTTAGAGCGTCGGCCTGCGGTCCTGAGAGACCCGGGTTCGGTTCCCGCTAAGGGCACGTACTTCGGTTGCAGTTTGTCCCCGGCCCTGGTCTGTTGTGCGGGTGGCAGCCACTCGATGTGTTCCTTTCACATCGATGTTTTTTTCTCTCTCTCTCTGTTCCTCTCTCTCCCTCCCACTCTACCTGAACAAAAAATGGAAAAATGTCCTCGGGTGAGGATAAAAAAAAAAAAAAAAAGAGAAAATGGAGACTAACTGAGCTGTGGCTAGATTGGGAGTGTGGGGCAGTAAAGATTCCTGCATTGTGGAGTGAGAACTTAAGATTTTGTATGTAGATGTAAAACGATTGTCTATGTTGTTTTATTTAGTCCCTTGGGCTCATAACATATGGCCATAGAGGCTTTAGAGGACTTAAGAGCAAAATATCAACAGTGGGTTAGTACCAGTATGTCAGTTTTTTGTTTTTTTTTAATCTTTATTGTTGAATGTATTACAGATGTTCCTAATTTTTCCCCTATTGACCCCCTCCTCCTCACTCCTGCCCCTCTCTTGCCTTTCCCAACACTGTTATCTGTGTTCATTGGTTATGTATATATATATATAAGTTCTTTGGTTTATCTCTTCCCATTCCCCAACCCCCTTCTCTTTGAGGTTTGTCAGTCTAACAACCAATTTGTACTTCTTAATCCCTTCACCCATTCCCCCAACTCCCCTTCCATCTGGCAACCAACAAAATGTTCTCTGTATCTACGAGAATGTTTCTGTTCTGCCTATTCATTTTGGTTGTAGATTCAATTGTTGATAGATATGTATTCATTGGCATTTTGTTTGTTCATAGTTTTTATATTTTTCTTCAAGAAGGCCCTTTGACATTTCATATAATAATGGTTTGGTAGTGATGAACTCCTTTAGCTTTTTCTTGTCTGGGAAACTCTTTCAATGGCCATCAAATCTAAATGACAGCTTTGCATGATAGAGTAATCTTGGTTGTAGGTTCTTGCTTTTATTACTCTGAATATTTCTTGCCACTCCCTTATAACCTGCAAAGTCTCTTTGGAGAAATCAGCTGACAGTCTTATGGGAACTCCCTAGTAGGACTAGCTGCCTTTCTCTTGCTGCTTTTAAGATTCTTTCTTTGTCTTAAACCTTTTGCATTTTGATGATGATGTGTCTTGGTGTGGGCCTCTTGGGGTTCATGTTGTTTGGGACTCTCTGTGCTTCCTGAACTTGTATGTCTGTTTCCTTCACCAAGTTAGGGAAGTTTTCTGCCATTATTGTTTCAAAAAGGTTTTTGTTTTCTTGTCCTCTCTCTTCTCCTTCTGGCACCCCCAAGATGTGAATGTTGGTATGCTTGAAGTTGTCCCAGAAGCTCCTTATGCTATCCTCATTTTTTTTTAATTCTTTTTTCTTTTTGCTGTTCTCATTGGGTGTTTTTTGCTTTCTTATGATCCAAATTGATGGTCTGCTTCTTGGCTTTACCTACTCTACTATTGAATCTGTGTAAATTGTTCTTTATTGCAGTTAGTGCCTCCTTCATTTCTGACTGTGCATCTTTCATTTCTGACTGGTCCTTTTTCATGCTCTTGAGGCCCTCACTAAGTTCACTGAGTATCCTTATAAGCAGTGTTTTGAACTCTGCATCTGTTAGGTTGCTTATCTCCATTATGCTTAGTTATTTTCCTGGAGTTTTTTTTTTTTTTCTTTTCTTTCATTTGGAACCTGTTTTTTTTTTTGTCTCCTCATTTTGGTTGCCTCCTGTGTTTGTTTCTATGTATTACTTAATGAGAGATATGGGGCTAGCTGAGACCAGATGCTGCTTGTTTGAAAGAATTTAGGAAAACCTGCAGCAGGATCCAAAACAGGCCAATCCTATGGTAAAGCAAGTGGCAACAGCTTGGGTGGGCCTGAAATTTGGGTGAGACGGGTTCTCAGGGAGTCACCAGGATGGGGCAGTGTGAGCCAGGTTGCTGGAGTCCCAGATATTGCGGTTGTCTGCCGCCACAGGGGAGGACTCACCAAAGGAACAAAGGCCTCTGACAGCACGTCTATCCAGGAGAAAGCTGCCTCTCCAGCCCTCGCTCCAATGCCAAACAGCTCAGTTCTTCCCCATATGTCTCTGGTGCCTTTCAAGCTGCCTCCCCCACACTGGAGTCTGGAGGGTGCGAGTCCAAGTAAATCCGTGCATGGGTCCTTTAAGAAGAGCCTCCTGGGGCTCCAGCCGACTCCGCCTCCTTCAATCTCAGTTCCCACTGGTTTTTCCAGCCAGAAGTTATGGGGACTTCTCTTCCTGGCACTGGAACCCTAAGCTGGATGCCTGGTGTGGGGCGGGGACCCCCTCAGTCCTCGGGGAGGACCTTCCCAGCCGAGGTATCCTTCTAATTTTTTTCCACCACACGTGGGTGTGGGACCAGCCCGTGGCACCTCCGCCAGTCTCGATGTGGCCTCTGCTTTAATTCTGTAGTTGTAGGACTTCCATTCAGCTTGATTTCAGGCAATTTTGAATGATGGTTGTTCTGTAGTTCAGTTGTAACTTTGATGTGGTTGTGGGAGGACCCGATACCTACGCCACCATCTTGGCCAGAAATCCTGCAGTATGTCAGTTTTTAATCTATTCATTCTCAGCTATAAATTTACTCCTTTTTTTGCCTGCTGTGTGAAAATGCATCTGGGCCCTTTAAGTAGTTTTCCTTTGCCAGCTGGCACAATAGTAAGACTTGCCAGTAGGGGGCACTAGAGAGAAATTTCAGGAGGAAAAGGGCTTTGTTTCCTAGTTCTGGTGTGTTTTCTTCCTGGAGCTCACAGGTCCAGCCCCAGCTTCTGCAGTGCCCTGTGGTAAGCAGCACCCTGCAGACAGGAGCTTCCTACAACATCCCTCTGGATGGTATCATAGCAGAATACCTCCCATGAGATACTTCTCTGTGAATAGTTTTCCCTTGGACCCTAGAGAACAGATTTCCAGCAAGTTCTGACAGCATGGCATCACAGTGACTTCTCTGCCATCCAGTGAGCCACAGCAGGGACCTATCCATCAAGGCTTGGATCTTAGCCCTAGTGGTGGTGGTAGTACAGCCCTTCTTTGGGTACTGTATTTGAACCCTATGTTCCTTTCTTTTAAGTATAAAACACTTCATGAATTTGTGCATCATCCTTGCATAGGGGCAATACTAATCTCTATATTGTTATCATTTTAGTATAGAGAGTGAGCACTCAACCCTATAGTCTTCAGATTTCTCTACTTATGCCACTCTATTAGAATTTAATTTTATTTATATTAAACTTTATCAGTTCAAGTGACTGTGTCTGTTCAAATTTCTCTTTCCGGATTTGACCTAGACTAATAAATCAGATTATGTTGATTTTTCCTGAGTACTGACTAACAAGAAATTTTGAAAGCTCCCATCAAGTTTTTTCTGGATGTGGGTAGAGAAAAAGAAGAGTTGGGGACTGAGCATGCTGAGGTCCAAATTACGTAAGTAATCGTTTGTTAGACTGAGGTGCAGAAGCTCGTTCTCTGATTCACTCCCCTTTTTGTGTGTAAAATCGAAATGCTGAGAGAAAAGATGAGATCCTGGCAACTAGAATGGGAAGGAATTAAGGGAGCTTTTGGAGAACACTGACGCCCTGAGGCCCCCTACCGTGTGCCTTCCTCCCTGACAAACAGGATGACACTGCCATTGCAATATACACTGAACTGGAATCCAGTTTGGGGATGGCTGATATTTAAGAAGGCAGAGAAGAACTCTCTGCCAGCCCAGCCAACTTTCCTCATTCATACTCTCCTGAGACAAAGTTTGTCAAACAGAGTAAAATAGGTATGTGTTGCCCCCAGAGTTATTACTGACAAACAGAAAATCTATGAGGGTAGCCCTATTCTTGTCTTTTCAATTTAACAGCCTTACTCACATAACAAAATTTTGGGTGTTTACTTTTAGGAAGTTCTCCTAAAATAAAACTGATAGGTGACTATTAGAATTTATTAGAATTGTAGGCCCAATAAAACCCCAACCCATATAACAGGCCTGGGATCTATTAAAATCCATAGAGCAGAATGTCCTAGTATCTTAGAAAGCCTCAGGCCATTTTTGTATCCCAATACTTTCAACAAAAAGTGAGTTGCAAATGAGATATATTACTCCTCTCTCCGCAAACAGGGTCAGTTGCTCTAAGGTCCTTTTCTATGTTCCCCTGGCAATAGAAATGATCCCAGCAGGCAATATCAGAGTCCCAGATTGGTTGACAATAGAATTTTCACCATTACCAAGTCAACCAAATAATGCCCATGAGACTCAGTAGTTTGCTTCATTAACTCTGTCCAGCAACAGATGGTACATATCAGATGGTTTCTTCTTCCTTTCTGCATGTTCTAAATGGAAGTTTTCATTGTAGTTGTATGTGTTCTACATTGTGGTACATAGAGGTAGTTGATAGGAGTCACATTTATTATTTAGTTTAAGGATGCAGGATTATGAGATGTTAAAACAGGACCATATTAAGACTCAATTAAAGGTAAAAGGAAGAGACATTGGATTGGAAAAATAGTGGTCTCATGACATTGCCTCTAGAAGCATAGCTAGGAGGAAATTAGATTGTCTCCTTTTGAGGAAGAAGTAAATGCATATGTATTGAAAGGGGAATGGTTGAAATAACTAAACTTCATACAGAGAGTAGGCTGTATGTGTGCTGGAGGGTTCCATTTCCCTAAAAATTAGACTTTGTTTGCTTTTTTTTTTTTGCTTTTTTTTTATCCTCACCCAAGGATATTCTTCCATTTTTTGTACAGATAGAGTGGGAGGGAGAGAGAGGAAGGGAGAGAGAGAGAAACATCGACGTGAAGGGAGACATCGAGTGGCTGCCACCTGCACGACCAACCAGGGCCGGGGACAAACTGCAACCGAAGTACGTGCCCTTAGTGGGAACCGAACCCGGGTCTCTCCGGACCGCAGACCGACGCTCTAACCGCTGAGCCAAACTGGCCAGGGTGACTTTGTTTGCTTTTTAAAACTGGTGTCAGACTTCTGCCTCCACTCTTATACTTATCAAAGAAAAGTTGGAACCTGAGTTGATTTGCTGAAATTTGTTGCCATTTCTGGTCCAGTCTATGGTTCTGTTCTGCTTCTTCGGACAGCACCATATCTTACTCAGTGAAACAACTTTGCTGCATTCAGAACGTTTCCTTGTTTGCCCTCTCTCTCTACAGATTTGACCTTCTCTGCTTGGGCAAGGGAGAAGGCAGGTGCCCTACAGCTTATGTTAACACACCTTCCAAATTGAGGCATTGAATAGAGACTGACTAGAATATAGGGATCTGAATTCCACATTCTTGGGAGAAGGACTGGCATAAATTGGGACTATAGACAACCTCTATTCTAATCAATTGTAACATGGAGGCTGGATTCCACAGGATAAATAGGGCCACTGGGCTACTAACAGGCATATTATTTAAAATGACAGTTCTGCAATAGTATATAAAAATACAGCTGCCCTGACCAGTTTTCTCAGTGGTTAGAGCTTCAGCCCTCAGACTGAAGGGTTGAGGGTTCCATTCCTGGTCAAGGTTACAAACCAGGGTTGCAGGTTTGATCCCCAGCCGGGTCATGCGGGAGGCAACAATCAATGTGTTTCTCTCTCCCTCCTTCCCTTCCAGTCTATCTAAAAATGTCCTCAGTCCTGGCCGGTTTGGCTCAGTGGTTAGAGTGTTGGCCTGCGGTCCCGAGAGACCTGGGTTCGGTTCCCGCTAAGGGCATGTACTTCGGTTGCAGTTTGTCCCCAGTCCTGCTTGGGTCGTGCGGGTGGCAGTCACTCGATGTGTCCCTTTCACATCGATGTTTCTCTCTCTCACTCTCTCCCTCTCTCTCCCTCCCACTTAATCTGAACAAAAAAAATAGAAAAATGTCCTCAGGTGAGAATAAAAAAATAAATAAATAAAAATGTCCTCAGATGAGGATTAAAAAAAATATATATATAATATATAAAAATATATATATACACATATATAAATATATACATATGTATATGTATATATATACATACAGCTGATATGAAATTAAATGTCAATAGCATGAGAATGCATATTCATAATGACTTTCATGAAAGAGTTGAAATTTAACTGTCCTAAACTGGGGTAGACTAAAAGAGGATAAATTCCTTTATGTTCTATACTTAAACTCACTTTTAAGTGTCCATTTGTGCTAATTTGCAGAATTGTGAAGAGAGCATCTAAACTTTGCCATGGAAAGTAACTCCCGTTCCTTCTCTTTTGAAGGAAGAAACATTTCTGCAGTTTCTCCTTTGCCTTCCCCTCTCTTAAAGTGCTGATTCAGTTAGGAAAACAGTTCAAGGTCCAATCAGAAAAGTAAAACTCTCAATAAGTAGTTTAAAAGAGAACACTTAATATGAAAAACGAATTATAAAGACGTTGGAATTGCTGAAAGACCAAGAGTGACAGTGAGGCAAACAGAAGCCACAGAGAAAAGGCAGGGACTGCCTGGGAGAGGCTGGGACCATTGAGGGAAGGGCAGGGCAGTCTCCCAGGAATGAAACCATTAAAGAAATGAAGCCACTGCTAGAAGCAGAGAGAGGAGAGAGGGTACAATCCTGTCACCCAATTCCATTGTGTGGGTGAAGGGGTGCATCCCACACACCAAACAATTCTCAGATACCATCTGAGTGTCCTTCAATTCAACTCAATTCTAACACTATCTACCTAAAGACAGTGTCAGATCTCACAGGTTTAGGGGCCAGTCCTACAAGACTGCCCCTCACCCCTTCAAATGCCAACTTCAACAGGAAGTCCAGGCTGTCACCTGTGCTTCTGACTGATTGACTACAGATCAGATGTTCCCACTACCCCCTCCTTGGGAAGCTTACAAAACTCAGGAAAGCAATTTACTCACTAGATTACTACAAAAAGATATTACTCAGGAACAGCAAGATAGAGATGAGCAGGGCCAGGTATGGGGAAAAGTGTGCAGAACTTTTTTGCTCCCTGAGCAGCCTACCACTCTTTTCTATCTCAAACCTGGAAGCTCTATGAACCTGTCCTTTAATTTTTTGTGGAGGCTTCATTACACAAGCATCATTGATTACATCATTGGCCATTTTTAATTGAACTTAATCTCCAGCTCCTCTCTTCCCTGGAGGTCTGAATGTGGGGCTTAAAATTCCAATTCTTTAATGGCAAGGTTGCTTCTTCTTGTGACCACCCCCAGGCTCAGGTGACCTGGAGGCTTTCCAAAAGTCATCTCATTAACATAACAAAAGATACCTTTACTGCTCTCATCACTTAGGAAATTCCAAAGGTTTTAGGAACTCTGTGCCAGAAACGGGGACAAAGACCCAATATATATTTCTTATGTCACAATATCAGAGAAGGAGAAATACCTGGGCTTCTTCCCACCTTTTTCCTCCCAGTCTCTCATCAGTACCTTCCATTGGCTGAATGCAGCAAGAAATCAGTTGGCAAAGAAAAATGAGAAACAGTTTGTAAGGATGAGCTCCAGCAATATGGTAGAACAGGGGACTATCGGGAAAATGGATCTGAGAGTTAAGAAGCAAATGCCTACCTCAGACATTTTGAGCTACAAATAACAGAAGAACCAACTGAAAATGGCTTAAACTAGGCTTAACAGATAGGAGGCAGGGCAATTTCAGTGTTAATTAAATGGCTCAACTACAAGGACCTACATTCTTTCCATCTTTCAGTACTTTGGCATACTATTTTCATGGTTTCATGATGGTTGTTTCTGTTTTGTTTGTTTTTTATCCTCACCTGAGGACATTTTTGCATCTATCTTCAGATAGAGCAGGAGGGAGACAGAGGGGAAGAGAGAGAGAGAAACATCTATGTGAGAGAGACACATTGAGTGGCTGCTACCCACACAACCCCAACCAGGGCTGGGGACAAACTACAACCGAGGTACGTGCCTTTAGCAGGAACCAAACCTGGGACTCTCTGGTCAGTGAGCTGATGCTCTACCGCTGAGCCAAACTGGCCAGGGCTGGTTTCATGATGGTTGCAAAGTTCCAGGCAGCACAGATAGAAAGGAAAACAGTTAGACATAGCATGAAATTGTTTATTTCTATTTGTCTGGTTTTTGATCAGTGAAGTTCTTCCTAAAGCCCCTCAGAAGAATTCCTCCCAAATGCCTTGGTCATAATAGAGTTACATGCCCATGCCTAAATCATTGGTGAGAAATAGAAATGACCCGTCCAGATT